TACCCATAAATATAAGTCTGTTTAGAAAGGAAGCCACATCTGTATGTCTTCTTTGGTGAAGCATCTGTTCAACACATGAAGAAGTATTCAAAATCCCTAGCTCTAAGAGAGATGCAAATTAAAACAACTATGGATAAGAAATAATCTCATTCCAGTAAGAACAGCAAAATACAACAGAGCAGCAACCAACAAATGCTGGCGAGGTTGTCCTTGTTCACTGTTGATGGGAGTGTAAAATGGTGTAACCACTATGGAAGGCACTATGGTGCTTTCTCAAAAAGTTGGAAATAGAAATACCATTTGACCCAGCAATTCCACTGGGAATATAAAGAAACCATAACCACCACCCAAGTAGATATATGCACACCCATGTTTTTTTATGCTTTGTTCACAATAGCAAAGAGTTGGAAACAACCCAAGTGCCCATCAACAAACGGATGGATAGAGAAGCTGTGGTATAGTCACACAAAGGAATAATACACTGCATAGAAAAACAAGAAACATTATATGAAATATTATACAAAATGGATGACCCTAAAGGACATTATGCTGAGTGAAATAGCTCTGTCACAAAAGGACAAATACTGCATAGTGCCACTGTTCTAAATTTGTCAATAATGTCAAAATTATTGAAATTGTGGCTGGAGGGAAACTAAGAGGGATAAATAATGTATACTGAATTGAAACATAAGAGGGAGAGAGCTGTTTAAAAAGAATATATGATTAGGTATTATTTTCATGACAAGATTCCTGAAAAAGAAATGCATAGAAAAGTCAACTATGGACTTGGGAAGGGAGATTGTATAACAATAAAATAGGTTTCTTTTCAAAGAGGAGTGTGAACTGGGTGGGGGAAAGGAAGGACAGGGAGGAAAAAGTGCTATAATGAATGAATGAGAAAATGAGAAGAATATGCAAAATTTAAAAAAAAAAAGCAAGCCACAAATTAGACTAAAATCCTAAAACAGAGGTTGTTTTTGGTTAGGTTGGGTTTGTGTTTTTTGGTTTTTTTGGGGGTGGGGTTTTGTGTGTGTGTGTGTGTGTGTGTGTGTGTGTGTGATTTGAGTAAAAACTTAAAAAGCAAATTGTTTTTCCATCAATTCATAAGCATTTTTTAAAAAACATTGATTACCATACCAACAATATAATTGTACTTTCCTCTCTTCCTTTCTGTAATTCTCATTTCTATTTATGCTGCTCTAACTCATTCTGCCTTCAAGGTTTTATCCTTAGCAAATGCTATTCTTTTGACCTTATATGATTGGTTATTCTAAGAGTGTCTCCCTGGTATTATTGGTCACTTTATGTTCTTGTCTATTGGGGTGTTTTTTTAAATCTTTTTCTTAATGATTTTCATAAAATAACACCTTTTCATTCACATACATTGTGTTTTGTACAATCTTTCATTTGCATTGAGTTTCATACAATTTTGTCCATTATTTGACTGAAAGTTGAGCCACATCGGATAAATTTTGTTTCAGGTTCAAAGAGGGACAAAGGTATATAATATCTTGGTTCCACAAGTCCCTGTCAGATCAGTTTTTTGCTGGTTTTATGTTTTTCAGTTTTGTTTCACATTATCCCCTGTTGTATCCAGGATTTTTAATTTTGGTCCTTATTATACTTAGTACTGATAACCAGGTGTCATCCAATTTTTCTGGTCATGGAAGTTAGGGTTGGAGTAGTAACAGTCTTTCAGACTAACTGCTTCTTTGTTGCCGGCAGGGAGAGACCAGTGGTTCTATCTTAAATGTTGCTTGCAAGCTTTTAAGACCCTAGTTTTTGCTTACCGAAGTAGGATGTAGAACCTTGACTTTGTGGATTATGTTACGCCAGTTGACTTTGATGTCTCCCAAGACTATGCCCCTGAGTAATAAAACAGCCAACTCATTCTCCCAGGTTGTTTGGTTTTTATTAAGAAGCCAACAAAGTATTGCTTCCTGTTGACTCTCCTGTGTACATACATGGATATATTTGGAGCATGTACGAGGAAGCGCGTAGAATTATATGCCAAAGCTATGTATGGCCATGGGTGTGGTCCTCTTCACCTATACACAGTTGTTTATCTTGTCTATATTTTTTGTGTCATTCTTTAGAAGTCCTCTGGTGACCATCTCCTTATTGTATAAGAACTTTCTCTTCATGCATCATAATTTGTGCCTATTATTTATTTTATGGAGCACTGGTAGAGTAGTACATAGTTAATTGCACTGCTAACCCAAAGGTGATGCACCTCTGGTAGTTCAAATCCACCATCTGCTTCATTGGAGAATGATGAACAATCTCTTCACATGATTTAAAGTCACAGAACATCAGTGAGGGCCAGCTATGATTTGGTTCTGAGTATAATTTATTTAATTATTTTTCTTTCTCTTTCTCTTCTTAGCCCTGACAACTATCCAAGAAACATACTTTTCACATGCAAACTTTCCTAAGCTTGTTACAATAGTTGTTATTAAGCGCCATTGAGTTGACTATAACTCATAGCATTCTTATGAACAATATATCTGAACCTTGACCTATCATCTGCCATCGTTATAATCTCTGATATACCTGGGCCTATTTTTCCTCTGTGAATAATTGATCTCACTCAGAATAATGTTCCCAAGATTCATCCAAAGTATGCAGTGTTCCATATGTTGCTGATTTCTTTGTTCTCTCTATTTTTCTATGGTGAGTTAATTTTGTTTATGGTATTTCTTATCTTAATTGCTGTTATTTTCATGTTTTCTAGGTCTTTTATTATTTTCTTCTTTTTTATTTTGATGAGGAAGTTTATTAATTACATTTGAAGGTTTCTGTAAGTTAATATTTTATTACCAAGTCTAAAATATAGAACAGTTCACTTTACCTAGAAATCGCCTTGACTTATTCTCCATTTAGAAGTTTTATAATTACACTACTTATTCCTTTGTTTCCCTTCGTAGTTGTCCTCATAGACTAATACCTCTAGTTCCCATTTTTATCTCATAAGTTTGCTTTATGATTGTTATTATGTGCTATCAAGTTGCCTGTGACTCATATGTACAAATAGCCCTGAATCCTACTGTATCCTGAGCCAGTCTCACTGACTCTGACACACCTACTCTGATTACCCCAGTTAATGTGTCAATCCATCTCATTAAGGGTCTTCCTCTCCTACACTGTCCCTCTGCCCTTCCAAGGATGATGTCCTTCTCCAAGGACTAGACTATCCTGGCAACATACCCAAAGTATGTGAGACAGTTTCAAATCTTTGCCTCCAAGGAACAACTTAGTTACACCCTCTCCAGGACAGAATTATTTGTTCTATTTTTATGTCTGAATGGATGAATGATGTCATGTGTACTAATTTGAGGTTTTATCTGGTTTTGGTGGTTCCCATTAGTATTTCTCATAGAGCTGTCTAGTTTCTAGTTTTTACAGATTCTTTAATTTCTGTTTTTCTGGAAATGTCTTAATTTCACTGTCACATTTGAGGAATGATTTTGTTATCAATACACTTCTTGGTTAGCATTTTTTTCCTTTCAGTTTTATACTTGTAAAACAGGGCCTTTTAACACATTGCCGTAAATGACGGTAATACTTCGGTGGGGGGGGGGGGGAAATGTGTTTCTAAGCATGGTCATCAATTTAAAAGTGTGCGGCAACGTGTTAAATGTTTTAAAACTAATTGATATGATAATAAACTGTGGAAAGAGCTAGAGCTGGAAACTCAAAAGGGCCAAACTTAGTATACCTTAAGCTGAAATAATTGAATAACAACTTCAAGCTTTCAGTTGAAATAAGGATGCTATGGACAGAATTTTGAATGATCTAGGAAGCATTAAAAGAAGATGAAAGAAGTACACAGAGTCACTGTACCCAAAAGAACTAGATGATACAGAAGATTTTCATGAAACAACATATGATCA